AGTAGCCAGCGTGTTGTTTCAAGATGAATCGAGAGGTCTTCCCATTTTGGTACGGTTGAGTAGAGACAAAGGATTGACATCCTCAAAAGCGAGCTTCTTTGTCCAGTGCTCTATATATTCCTTCTTTTATAACGATGGACCATCTCAAAACTTGCATTCGTTCGTAGGGGATCTCGCGCTTGATTGTCGGCTAATGCTGATGTACTATTCTGTCTTTGGCGTGTCAAAAATGCCAGCAAATCTGAAATAAAAAGTGCTTATCGGAAGCCGTCGCAAGGAATTACCATCCAGATGTGAACAAGAGCGAATCTTTGGGAGCAGACAAGAAGTTCAAGGACATCAGCATGCTTATGAGGTATTATCGGTGATGAGAAACGATCTCTGTATGATAAATATGGAGAAGCTGCCGCTCAGGGCCTCCGGTATGGGAATGGGGGCTGTCTAAAATTCACAGTAGATTAGCTGATCCCCATCAAACCCGATTATGCGAAGTTACAATCTGAGACTTCCAGAAGGCCTACAATTTTGAGACTTTCACGTAGATCACTGAAGGCTTACAATCTGACGACATTCACGACAACCGTGAGAGCTCTGGTTTACGCCTTCATAGATCAACATCTGGGAGTTACAAGTCTGACGAACTCTCATATATCAGAGCGCTAAAAGCAAAGATTACAAATGAGATTTTGTAACGCTTCGACAGAAGCAGACTAACAGAATCGGATGCGTCTCTTCGAAATCAAACTGTGAAGTCTCCACCGCACACAGCATCAAGACGCATCGTGTTCATAGCCACGAACGCCAGTCACGGCATCTCATACCGCAGTCAACGCAGCTCAATCGCTGCCCAAGCGAGCTCCAATCGCTGCAGAGCGCAGCTCAAATCGCCGCCAAACGCCAGGCTCAAATCACCGCCAGACTGCAGCTTCCAGATCGCTTGCAAAGCGCAGCTAGACGTAGATTCCAACGCTGCAAACGCCAGTTCTATTACGCGCGTCCGAGCTTGCCAGACGATGCGTTTCAAGCTTTTCCAACACGGGGCCTGTGTGAATTGCAGAATTCACTGTCAGGAACGGCGGACCGCGGTTTTTGACTCGGTTTCAACACGGTAGGTAACATCTCTCTCTTGTTTTTACCTTCAGTGATCTACGTGAAAGTCTTCAAATTGTAGCCTTCTGGAAGTCGTCAGATTGTAACTTCCATAATCGGTGTTTGATGGGGATCAGCTATCTATTGTGATTTTTAGACAGCCCCCATTCCCATACCGGAGCCCTTGAGGCCAGCTTCTCCATATTTATCATACAGAGATCGTTTCTCATCATCGGATAATACCTCATAAGCATTGCTGATGTCCTTGAACTTCTGTTCTGCTCCAGATTCTTTGTTCACATCTGGATGGTAATTCCTTGCGAGCTTCCGATAAGCACTTTTTATTTCAGATTTGCTGGCATTTTTTGACACGCCAAGGACAGAATAGTAATCAGCATTAGCCCTGACAATAAGCCGAGATCCCTTACGACGATGCAAGTTTTGAGATGGTCCATGTTTAAAGAAGGAATATATAGAGACTGGAGCAAAGAAGCTCGCTTTTGAGGATGTCAATCCTTTGTCTCTACTCAACGTACCAAAATGGGAGACCTTCGAATTATCTGTGAAACAACACGCTGCTACTTGTCGGGATGGTGATCTAAGCATTAAATGTGGGCTAGTTCCCAGCTGTGGCACACATGTACCGGCCATGAGGTTGGCTTTCAAGTTACCTTGAACACTAATTCTTTTTGTGGGTTATCGAGAGAGAGAGAGAGAGAGAGAAGCTGGGATTCTAGAGAGAGAGAGAGAGTGGAGGGAATTTCCTCTGAGCGAAGCAAAGAGAGAAGAATCCTGGCTCTGCTGAGTCCTCTCAGCCGCTGGCCGCCTCCCTTATGCAGGGCAACTTTCCTACCTTATCGACTCTATTGAACGCAACACTTCTACCTTATCGACTCTCGTCGATAGAGCGATAAGTCCTCAAAGTTGCCCTGAACGCAACGCTTCTACCTTATCGACTCTCGTCGATAGAGCGATAAGTCCTCAAAGTTGCCCTGAACGCAACACTTCTACCTTATCGACTCTCGTCAATAGAGCGATAAGTCCTCAAAGTTGCCCTGAACGCAACACTTCTACCTTATCGACTCTCGTCAATAGAGCGATAAGTCCTCAAAGTTGCCCTGAACGCAACACTTCTACCTTATCGACTCTCGTCAATAGAGCGATAAGTCCTATCGACTCTATTGAACGCAACACTTCTACCTTATCGACTCTCGTCGATAGAGCGATAAGCCCTCAAAGTTGCCCTGAACGCAACACTTCTACCTTATCGACTCTCGTCAATAGAGCGATAAGTCCTCAAAGTTGCCCTGAACGCAACACTTCTAAATGTTTAAAAAATATAACATTTAAGCGGCAGCGGCAAGCGTGCAAAGTGCTAAGTGCGTCTAATAATCGCGTC